CATTTATTTTTTAAAACCCGGTCTGATATACAGGCAAAGGGACGCATGGCAACACCTTCAATATCGTCGCGTGCAAGGCCCCGTCGAGAACGGCGGGACTCTTTTTCTTGCGGTAGGTGATCGTTTTTCTTCCGTGCACTATTGCAAGAATTTCACGTCTTTCTTGGTCACCCTCTCGGTTTGTCCGACCGAGAAGGCCTTCCCCTTTCTGACATGCTCTTTTCCCGTCCTACCTACCCTCCAATCGTCTCCCGTAGTCTTGGGCTCCTGCTCCCTCCTTTTCATCGTCTTTTGCCTGGTACCGTCCCTTCTGGACGCGTCTGCGCTCCCCCGGGCCCTCTTTCACCACATCCGCCTCACTTTCCACGGCCGTCGATGGCTCTCGGACGGGGGTCTGTCCAGCATCCTGCCTTCCTTACCTTCCAGTTTCCATCCCTCCCCATCGCCCAAACTGTTGCCCAACATAGACACTTTGGGGATGGGCACAGGGAAAGAGGCGGGCGATGGGGCGGAAGACGGGACGGGGGAAGGGGATGAAAGCCGAGGCCCTGTGGGCAAGACTGGAAAGTCCGGGGAGGCAGCCCTCGAGCAGCGGGAAACCGACGGATTGATGAGGAGGGAGGACTGGAAGAAGATGGGAAACGAGCGGGTGCAAGGAGGCTTGCGATACCATGCGGTTATGTACCGGGAATGGAAGAGGGAGGGACAGGGGGAGGGGCGGGAGTGGAGGAGTTTGGATCTTCCGGTGGGAGGGAATGAGGGATATGGAGGGAAGGAGGGGGGGGAGGCGGTGCAAGCTTTGACCATGGAGGACGTCCGGTGGCTGGCCCTGGACGTGAAGGAAAAGAAGCGGAGGCGGCGGGGCCAGGTGGGGAAAAAACCGGCCAGGAAGGGGAAGCAGGAAGGGACGGAGGGCGGGACGGAGGGCGGGACGGAGGGAGGGGATACCCTGGGGTCGGGGGAGGGAAAGGGAGACGTGGTCTTACGCCATACTCCCAGCACAGTCTCCCTCTTGGAAGCCTTCGTGGCGAGGACAAAGGCTCGAGACCCCTACGGCTTCG